CGCCGTAAACGCTCATTTGTATTGATACAAACATATGTTGCGTGTATGCATTGTAATACAGAAATCTGCGTTTTCACCAGACTCTTCAACGGTAGTGAAATGGAGTCGGTCGAGACGGCTTACGCTGGCTTTAAAAGGAAAAATAAGCGACTCTATTGGATAGACCAATTTACGATACAGTGCAAAAGCAGATTGACTGGTCATTTTAATTCATACGAGGGCGGCACTGAAAATTTCGGGAATCAAAGAAGTGACACAACATTACTATTTAAAAATGTATTTATTGCTTTTCGAAGTATTCTCCGCGAAATTTGACACATTTTTCCATAAGATGGAACCAATCATTGAAGCAACCATTCCATTCGGAAGTTGGGGTCTCCAAAATGGCCGTTTTGTAGGCGTCCACAGCTTTTTCAGGTGATGAAAATCTCTGTCCACGCAATTTATTCTTTATTTTAGGAAAGTGTAGAAATCATTAGGGCTTAGGTTGGGGCTGTACGGTGGATGGTCTAATAATTCTATGTTTTCTTGCTCTAAAAACTCTTTTGTTCTGTGTGCGGTGTGAGGAACTCGCATTGTCGTGATGGAGGATGATGCGGCGGTTGCAGTTCTCTTTACGGAGTTCAGAAACGACCTGTGGCAAACAAATGCTAGCATACCATTCTGCATTAACCGTTCTTTGTCCCTCAAGAGGAATAGTCGTAACATGGCCGGTTTTGGAGACAAACGTGGCCACCATTTTTTTTGCAACACTCCGTGAACGAACAATTTTTGTTGGCTTTAACTCATTTTCGAACACCCAAACTCGTGACTGGTTTTTTGTTTCGGGTTCGTACGCGTATATCCAGAATTCGTCACCTGATACGATGTTGTATACAGCATTTGAGGATCCTGCGTGGAATCTTTCGAGTTCTGACGCACCAAGTAACGCGAGCCGCTTTTTGCTCTTCAGAGCGAATGCGATATCCATCGGGAAAACAACTTTTTTACACCTAATTGTTGATGCAAGATTATTTGTATTTGACTCATGCCAATGTCTAAAGTTGCCTGAATTTCGCGGTATGTCACATGTCGATCTACCTCAATTAGCTTACGCACAGCATCAACGTTTTCTTGGGTGACTGCAGTTTTTGGACGACCACGACGGGGATCATCACTGGGCTTGACACGTCCACGTTGAAATTCAGCAAACCAGCGATAAATTGTGGTTTTGGATGGGGCTTCATCACCAAATGCCGAAATCATCCGGTCAACACACTGTTTTTGTGTTAAACCACTTCGAAAGTAATAATAAATCATCGCTCTTGAACATAGATTACTGTATATATACTAGAGACTCTTGAATTTTCTCGAGTCAATTCCATTTTCTCAATGACTAAACAAGTTTGACAAAACCTTGTGACAAGACCGAGAATCTTTTTTTAAATAAATAAATGTTATTCGATTTTTAAAACCAAGGAGTTTTCAATTAAAAAAAGATTTTAATATGACAGGAACAGTGGAAATATTCCATTCACGATACTTTTAGTGCAGCCTATGTAAACAAACGTGATAACTTTGTACACGCGTTTGAACCGATACAAAAGCGACAATCTGCTTTTTGGTCATCTACAGCGCTTAAGTAAATTGCTATCGTGTGTAATAAAGTATTGTGAAGTTCGCCAAAACGCATTGAAGTAGCATGAGGGACGTTTCCTTACGAAAACGTTCCCTCTCAGAAATTAAAGGAGACATGTACCCGGCAGTGGAAGATATAAAGGGTGTAATTTTACTTTTTACTTTTACAAAGTATATTTATTAGCCTTTAAAAAACGTAAACCCTAAAAGTCAAAAAATTGGCGTTCCATAGTTCAATCTTCATTTAATGAGTAGGTATTACGAATGGTTTGTTTTTAATGGGAAGAGAAAATTTTCCCAACATTTTAATTTATATTTAGCAAATTTAGCTTCCATTAAAATTGCCAGGTGTTATATTTTCGGCTCTCGGCTAAGCATTCCGTCAAATATGTGCTAGATAATTCTTTTATTTGAATAAATGAACACTACTTAATAATGACTTTATGTTATAAAATATTCATGGAACGCATTTGAAGTAAATACAATCTTTCACCAAAATAAATAAGAATGCAAATCAACAGACGCCACATTGCAGCCTCACTGTAACATCACCTTCGCTTGTACTTACTAAAAGAATTACCACGCCGACAGAATGATGAAAACGATTAAGACTAGTTGAATGAATGACTTAAGCTGGTTGTTTGTGCAGTTCTTTTTACAGCTGGAACGAGTGAGGGAGTTATAACGCATATCTAATACCTCTAAACGAGCAATTCTTATATATATATATATATATATATATATATATATATATATATATATATATATATATATATAATCGGAACATCGAAAACGGCTCCAACAATTTTCACAAAATTTAGTGTCCAGGGGGTTTTGGGGGTAATAAATCGCCATCAATTTCCCTTCTTTTGTGAGAAAATCTGTTATTTCGAGCCCTCTTTAGGGTTCCTTAGTCAACCCTTATAGTTTCGCCATGTCTGTCTGTCCGTCCTCGCTTAATCTCTGTGACCGTTAGCACTAAAAAGCTGAAATTTGGTACCAATATGTGTATCAATCACGCCAACAAAGGGGTAAAATAAAAATTGGAAAAAATGTTTTATTAGGATAGCCCCCCCCCTCCCCCCCGCCCCTATATGTAAAGTGGGAAGTGATTTTTTTTTTAATTTCAACCCTAACGTGTGATATATTGTTGGAAAGGTATTTAAAAATGAATAGGGGTTTACTAAAATCATTTTTTGATAATATCAATAATTTCGGAAATAATCGCTCCAAAAGTAAAAAACAATGTGTCCCCCCCCCCCTCTAACTTTTGAACCATAAATTTAGAAAATATGAAAAAATATGAAAAGTAGAACTTTATAAGGACTTTCTAGGAAAATCATTTTGAACTTGGATGGAAACAACAGTACCCACTACCGGGAGCAGTTGCAGGAGCGCGAACATAATGGATACCCACCTTTAAACTCATAAGTGGGAACACTTATTGTGACGGACGGGAAACTACGGAACCCTACACTGAGTGTGGCCCGACACGCTCTTGGCCGGTTTTATTTAGTATAAAAAAACGAAAATTTAAATTAAGCTAATTATTGCACTCTTGATTTTTATTCAAATAACCAGTTCAGTTTTTCTATTACGTCAAACGTAAGATCAAAAATATTATTCATACTTCATCAGTATGTAATTTGTATCTAAATATAATTGCCAAAACACACGATTTCAAAAAAAATACCGAGTGAAGTTCGCTCATGCAGATACTTAGTTTAATAACCTCACTCTTATCACATGCGTCTTATCCCAAACTCTGCAATCTTTGCCTACATAATGTGAAACTCAAACGTGACTCAAAGAACTTTCTGGTCCCTAATGCAGCATGCATCCCATTGCAGAAGTGGATGACTATCAGACCGTATTATACTACGAATTGTACAATATGGGGTAAGGTCGTCATCGCTATCTAATCCTCTTGCTCGGTGTCGATTGGTTGACTATGATCTGTCAGTGATCATCTTTCTATCTTCTTCTTCAGCGAAATCCTTATCCGGTGGCGTAATATCCGTACCGAAATCTCCAAGAGTTGATAATATATGCTGTCGTTCTCTAGTCACCATTCAAATAAAAAATCATAAAGGTACGAAACCTAGAAAAGTAACACCAAAAGCAATAACACATTATAAAAATCATATGATGAGTCATATTCACCTTTTAAACTTTGCCCTCACGTAGTCCGCGGTCGCCATTCAACTGATTTCTTGTCATTAATACTTAGGCAGTAAATTAATTTCAGCTCCTGACCTCAGACAAAGTAAAAAAGTTCCTGATAAGTACGGCATCGTAGCAAGTGTCGACACAAAAATGCCTCTGGTTTCGATGATGTTTGTGCTGTTAGCCTATGCAGCTCATACAGCTTCATAGTATAATCAAATTAAAAAATATCGAGTCATTTTGACTCAACTTAGTCCTACTATTGACGCCATTTCTGTAGACACCACAGTGCTATATACAACATTTAAATATAAGTTAGCACTTATGTAGACGTGTTCTACAGACGTTCCCATCGATATTATTAGGCACATCCGAATCAGAAATCAAATTAATATTAAAATAAAATTATTAGAAGGGGGAATCAAATTAGTATAGACGGATGTAGGGTAAATAGGCACTACCACGAAAGGATTGTTTTATCGCCAAATGTTAATCGAATTATGTAGATATATACCTAACTGTAGGATGCCCGAACAAACCCCCAATAAAGCGAAACTTTATGCCGATTCGACGAAGTATGCGTAAATGCTAAAAGCCTAACGGATAGTGGGATATAACGGTTAAATAAACTCAAATGAACTTGTACGATTTTGCAGTTGCCAGCGAGTGGAATGAAAGCTAAACACAAAGTGAAGTAATTACTTCTAAGACGGTTTCGTTGTCCAAAAAATTAACTGAATCGAAAGTGTACATTAAGCTTTAAGTATAAAGCGTCTTAAATGTCAACGGGATGCCCAAAAGAAAGCATCACTATTATCACGATATTGTTACCTGATATATATCAAAGGGTCCTTTAATACACGGCTGAGAGATTTTCTTTACACTAATGGATCTATTCTTTAGATACGTCAATCAATTTTTCATATATAAATCGAAGAAATCTTGTTTACGGCGTAGTTTTCTTTTAGTTATCATACAAAACGGATTACCAATATGGTGAGATACGCTTTTATTAACTAATATATCACTTTAATAAATGAAATAACACATTTCATATATTATTATTTTAGAACAAGAGGTCAAACATAATCCGGATATGCGCCAGCTATTTACTTATCACACAAACATTTATGCCAATAAAAGCTCTAAAAAAACCTTCCAATGTAAACGAATTCACAGTTGAAGACCGAAGAACCCATAAAAAACAAAATTATGTAATGAAAAGAGCGACGAATGAAGGGATGTCGGGCAACGACGATGATATCGGTGTTACATACACTACCGATTATTTCGACATCGAATCAAGTCCTGAAGAACTACCATCTCTTATTGTAGACTATGCTAATATGATCAGAAACGACATCATCCTTCTAGATAATTCCGTTGAAACGCGAACTCGTAAGAGAGGTAACATTAAAGTCGAAAAATACAAAGTAAGTAATATATAACTTTTGCCTAAAACTCGTGTCTAACAATGTCACTAATTATTTTCAAACTCAATAATTTCAGCGAGGACCCTTGGATTTCCCTTGCAGTTGTGAACATATGTATAATAGCGTAAGTGTATTTGACTTGATAACATAGTTTCATACCCTATTAAGCTGAACCACTGTTATTGGGGTGTTTAGATTTTAACTATGATATTGTATAAAGATTTTTTGCAATTAATCGATACAGATAAACTGAAACTCTATCTCATATCTTATTTGTACAAATTAAGCACTATATTAACCACTATACTCATGATTCAACTTTACAGAAAGAAACAATTGATTTGGGCGAGGAATACTTTCCAAGATATATAGAAACAAAAAACTGCAGCAAGCGTCTTTGTCCGACTTCATACAATTGTCAAAAAAGTTTGTATAATGTACGTATTCAACACTTTTAAACAATAAGATTCTATACTTTAACCATAATTCAACAAGAAGTTGAAATTTTAATGTGATGTATCAGTGACAACTTAAAGAATACAAAAAACAATTGAAGTTAATAAGAGCTTAGATATCATTATGTATTTGACAAAAAATCTAAGGTTCGAATCTATGCAACATCAAATTAAGCACATTCGAGTCTAAGTGTGATATAAATAAACTTTAATATTTGAATAGAGGAATGTATACATGATAAACAATTTGTTTTCAGATAACAATTTTGAAGAAATCTGGTTACCCAAATGAAGTATCACCAGTGGAAGTGCCTCATGAGTTAAAACGTCGCTGGGTAGCGATAAGATTACCAGTAACTATAGGTTGTATTTGCACAAGGGATCATGTTGATAGCAATTAATTAAACCTCATCATTTTCTTATAACCACGATTGCAAGTGTTGGTATCTTCTATCTATTTTAAGGCTATAAATGTATACGATTTGCGCCAATGAAGTCTTACAAAATGCACTCCAAATATTAATATAACGATGTATATTTAATGTAGTAATAAATGTGTGACAAAATTATGTACATAATTACATGACAGACAATCTAAAATTATTAAAAATATCATATACAGTTAATTAAAAAACAAGTGTTCGTATGCCAGTTTTATTTAATTTATATCAAAAGAAATATACCGTTAAAAGTAAACATGTGACTTACAATATTCTAAACATACCCAACAGTAATATTTACAATTCCAAGTTATTTTATGCATTAATTATCAAAATATTCGTCATGAATAAAACAAAATGTGAATAACTAAAAGTGTTGCACTCCATACAAATATAAAAATATAAACATTTTCATCACAATTATTTAGAAACCATTAAAACCTACAACCGTGCTAACACTGAGGCTCATAACTTAATTTTTAATTTTGCTGTTTATATTTCCTAAATAAAGAACAAGTACTACTTTTGTCTATGTTTATAAGCACAAAGTTGGTTAACTAATAACACACCTATTGACTTACCAGATGGATGAGTTTTGAGGCTGTTGACAATTTTTTTGCAAAACATTGCTTATGAATCGCTACATTGAATATGAATTATGTTGGATGTCTATCACACGATTGTGTGAATTTCATGTATGCTATGTTACAAGCTACTGACATACATACTTTCCGTCATATTAAGGACACAACTATTCGCGCAGGATAATAATAAGATTGGGTTTACTACAACTTCACCCTCAGTACTTAACGCCAATTATCATAACACCGGCATGACATGCCGACATTATAAGGTTATGATTTATAGGAAAACGTTACAAAATGGGATCACAAATTATCATTTATTATAATTCCATAAAAAAAATTGAATAAAATAAACTTCGATCAACAATACCAACTAGATAACGGATCACGTACAAAATCATAGCTAAACAGCTACATTTGTTTACTAAAGAACTGAGAAAAAAAATTAAAACAATTTTAAGTCCAACCTAATTACAACCATGGCATCTGCTAATAAAGTCAGAAATCTGACGATCATTAGTCACAAAAGAGGAACAGCAATACAGTACTCCAGTCACTTGGAAATGAATAGGCATAGGTTAAAAATATTTAGTATGAAATCAACCTTAAGTTATAACAAATAAACAAGTACTTTTCTCGTTATTGCCTTGCGAGTTACGTCGTTTTGTTTCATTTCTGTTTTCTTCTTGGAATATTGCTCAATATATATATATACATATATATTTTTTTTTTTTGTGTATATTATATATTGTCAATATAATAAAACGTTTTTTTTTTTTCGGAAGTGATGTAAAATATATAAAAATACTAAATTCCACATCTTTATAATTATCTTTACAATCTTTATAATACAAGTACATTTCTCAAAGTGATCCAAACATTGAACCGAATTCTTAGCTGTCTTATAAAAGTTATCTCTTCTTTCTCTGGTGACAATAGAGATCTATTCTGCAAACTTAAACAGATTTCTAGGAAAGCTAAGTATCTAATGAAATTACACAAACGGAGGCAAAAGTAGCAATTGCAATTATTTAAAATGTTGATAACAAATCATTAAAATTATTACAATACAAATCTACTCTATCTACTATTCTGTTTCATAAATGTTTACGCGTGTATTGGTCAAACATTTGTGGGGGTGGTTTAAAATCGGTAATTTTGTTTCAAATATGATATTATTTATTAGTTTAGAGCTTAAAATATAACTTTATTATACATGTAATTATCGAAAGTAAGACACTACGGCCGTTAAATTGCTTTGTCGAGCAATATTCTTGTAACTTTTAAATATACATTGGAGCATTGTGAAACGTGTTTACATTGGTTGTTTCAAGAACTAAACGAAATAAGAACTCACGTCTCAAGTGCGCCCTTATTTACTGTGACATATTTTTTGCGTCGACCCGATATCTAGTTGGTATTGTTGATCGAAGAAAATAAATAAATGTTAACTGTATTTTCACACCTGCACATGAAGCAATGCGAAACGAAATACCAATTTCTGTCAGTACTATTATTATAAAGCTCATATAGTACTATAAAATATCCTGCTAAAGAATTATAACAATTATTGGTTCTTAATTGCATTACTAATTTCGGTACCAAAATTATATCAGAATATAAAGTCCATATTTAATTCAAGGTTAGTGGTAATGGTTTTATACAGTTATCAAAATAATATTATTTTATTTTATTCCCAAACTTCTTCAAATTAATGACCTCAGTGGTCGACGACAGTCACGTTATTTAAAGGTTTATTGAAATGCAATAGTCTAAAAAATAAAATCAATTTTAAATACATAAAATATTTTAATACTCGGACGTGTGGCGTACAGTTTCGTGAGCAGCTGGCGTTGGTACGTCGCTCAGATGAGGCAGGATGTGGGCTATGGCTTCACGTGCCTCATTTACCATCCCCATTTCTCTTCTAAGCACCTCCTCAGTCACCGTGTGAATTGATTTGAACTTGAGGTTCAAACCGTGGGCTTTGAGAACGTGGTTGTTTAAATTCACTTTATAGCTGAATGCAACGTTGCAAACCTGTAATGCAACACTCAACTTAAGTTTAAAAAAATATTATTCCAGTTACAGATCTTATCTCTAGTGGGAATAGTTTGCCGATTGGAATTCTAATTGTGATAACACTTTATAATCTAAAATAAGATAACAATGACACGGGGTCATAATCGATACTTTACAACGAAACTAAACAACAAACGTCTAATTGCAACAAACCAGTTACACAATAGTAATGCAGCTCAACCATGTTGAACCAATTTTAAGTTTTAACTTATTAATTGCTCCACGGTGGGAGACGGACAAACTGATTAATGCATGAAAATCAAAAATATTGCGAGATTATCTTCAGTCCGCCAACCCGCACGGGAACAGCGTGTTCGATCTGCTCAATTACCATTAGCAGCGTACAGGCGTAAGTGTGCTTATTACCACGCGCTGACCACCTCATTACACAACTGTCTACCGCAAATCCGATTTAAGTGTGTACATTACATCAGTAGAGTCAAAGGAAAAAGAACCAACCTCACATTTAAACGGCTTTTTACCGGTGTGAATGAGCAAATGATTTTGCAAATGGTGGCTCTGCACAAAACTCCTACAGCAATGTTCACAGACGAATCTCTTATCGCCCATGTGAGCTCTCATATGGCGACGGAGTCCCGCGGCCTGCAAGAGATGTTAAGAGCTTGAGGGAGAGAAAACGCACCTGGCAAGAGTACGGCCGCTCCCCGGTGTGCATTCGCTCGTGATTTTGCAACTGATGTTTCGCGTTGAACGACATCGCACAATTTGAGCACTTGAACGGCTTATAGCCGGCGTGTATGCGCAGATGACGGTTCAGATCGCAACGCTGAAATACATCCAATACTTACAAACACACAATACATAATGTAGCATTTTTGATATCTCAGATTATATGACATGTTTACTGTGTAACTCATAAGAAAGTTATAAAACCAGAGTTAAGAGACTGACTTCTGATCAAAAAAGAAATTGCTAAAATTATATGTATATACAACACGTAACATAATTAACGCACTTTGAGAAAGTAGTTTGTTCAGAATCGTTTACTGAATCGATTCCTATCATTTTTAATATAGGTAATTTTTTATCCCAAAAATAATTAAATCACATAAATTACAGTCACACTAAATCTGTACAGTCAAAATATACTGAAACGGACCGTAACTTAAGGCAGTAAGACTTTTAAGAGTGCAGTTTTATTTGTATTATTACTAATTCTGTCATTCAATAAAAATAAAGAAAAATGAACTTTATTTCAAGCACATTAAAGTCTTTGCGTTCGTGGATTTGTACTGTGACCACAACATTTTTCCGGAATTAGTATAACTAATTTGATAAATAATCAGTGCATAAAAATGTTTAACTAAAAATTCAGTGTATATATTATGATTATAACATAATATACTAATTGGGGTGTCTGAGGGTGTGCGTTAATTACGTTACATATTGTATATACATATTACAATACCGTAAGTATTGGCGTAAACGCGAAGGCACTCCTAGCTCCTACGTCCTAAGCTACCTTTAGGTATACGACGAATACGATAGGGCTATCGTGAGAGAGCCCTTAGATGCAATTTCAAAAACCCGAGGAAAGCACAAAACATTTAGACATGAGAAATAAATTATGTTGCACAAATATAGTTTATTCTGATACTTAAACCTACTTACTCTATTCAAGAATTCGAAGACAGGTTCGTTAACCATTTAAACATTTTATTAATATCACTTAGGGCTTGCGCTCATAGACTGCACGGCATGTAACGGCGTGCCAAAGGATTGTTTTCGTGGACAAAAGATTTTCCATCTCATTTTAATGAACTTGGCACTGATATTCCTTAATTTCAACACGAATAGACCGAAACGACTCGCGCGACACCGCGGCATGCTACTGCACGTCATGACATTCCCCGGAATGCTGCGGCACGTCACAGCATTGCATGGGATGCCGCGGCACACCGCTGCTTCACGTAAAATGCATAGGTTACTTCATGTTGTTAAAGAAATGTGAATGCTAAGTAATTGAAACAAGGTTGAATCTAGCCCGCAGCGGCGATATCAGTGAGCCTGGATCCTTTGGCATGCCGCAGAATGCCACAGAATCCTTCGGTATGCCGAAGTATGCTTTGCCACGTTGTGCCACGCTATGCCGTCTGTGAGCGCAGGCCCTAATGTATAATATAAGTACATATATTTATTTTACAATAATCACAGTGGATCACTAAAGGTACAATACAATACAATACAATACTCTTTATTGCACACACAATAATAAAAAGAACAACAAACTTAAATTGATAAATTTATGTACAATTAGGTGGCCTTATCGCTAAACAGCGATCTCTTCCAGGCAAACCTTGGTGAAGGAGATCTTTTACATACAAAAATATAGAAGTGTGCATAAATAGTAGTTAAAAATCATGCATAACACATTTTTTTTATATATATATATATATATATATATATATATATATATATATATATATACATAATCATACACATATATACATATCCATACACATACATATTTATACATATACATATTTATAAATATTTTTGTAACACATAGCTACACATTATATACATACCATATATACACAAACCTTATCAAGTATAATAGATATGATAATGAAATATATTAAGTAGAACACATATTTAAATAATAATTTTTAACCAGTTTTTTGAAAGACTCAATGTTTTGGGCTTTCTTAATTGTTAAAGGAAGCGAGTTCCATAATTTAATTGCTTTGACACAAAAGGAAGAATTAAAAAATTTTGAATTGTGAGCAGGCATTTGCAAAATAAGCTTATCGGATAATCTGGAATGATCTTTATCTGCACCCGCAAACTCGAATTTTTCCTTTAAATACTTCGGTGTTTTAGGATCAAATAGTACACAGTACAGTTGAGATAGAATGTGAGTATTCCGACGAAGTCTGATAGGAAGCCACTTGAGCTTAGTACGAAACTCAGAAACATGATCATATTTGCGGAGGCCAAATATGAACCTAATAGCGAAATTCTGAAGACGCTCAAGTTTATTTAATTGATCCTCAGTAAGATTAGAATAGCATACATCAGCATAATCAAGGATAGGGAGTAACAAGGACTGTGCCAGTAAAATTCTAGTAGGAATCGGTAATGAGTTACGCAAACGTCGTAAGGAAGATGATGCCGCGAACATCTTTCTACTGGACTCTTTAATATGTAGGGACCAAGAAAGATTTTGATCAATGTGTAATCCTAGGTCTTTTACAGATTTGCTAAAAGGTATCACAACACCATCAATAACAATAGGTGGTAGGTTATCCCAACAAATTCTGGAAATTACAGTACTATTTCCAACAATAATGGCTTGGGTCTTATTGGGATTTAAATTGAGCCCGAACGACCTGCTCCAATCATGTATTGCAGCAAGATTCATATTAGTGTCATTGATGGCATTGGGAAGGTTCTGGAGTGATGTATGGGAGTATACTTGAAGATCATCTGCATACAAATGGTAGAGAGAAGAAATTCGTGAAGTAACAGAATTAATAAACACCGAAAAAAGGAGAGGAGACAACACGCCACCTTGTGGTACACCAGCAGTTAGTTCACACCACGAAGATGTGGCACCCCCTACCATAACCCGCTGCCGGCGGCCACGCAAATAGCTTTGAAACCATTCAATTGCCGCTGGAGATATGTTAATAGAGCGTAGCAGACTCCGCAATACATCAAAATCGACGGTGTTAAAAGCATTACTGAAATCCAGTAGCGTAAGTAATGTGAGCTGCTTTTGGTCCATACCCCAGCGAATATTATCTGTGATTTTAAGTAACGCTGTAACCGTACTATGACCAAGTCTGAACCCCGATTGAAAGGAGTCAAGAAGGGAGTTTTTATTTAGGAAGAGGTTAAGTTGTGCAAAGACTAAACGTTCAAGGACTTTTGAAAGGAATGGAAGGATAGATATAGGTCGATAATCTGAGGGAGAACAGGGGTTTTTCTTTTTAGGAAGAGGAATGATATTTGCTTCCTTCCAAATTCGTGGAAAGGATTCAGAGGATATGGAGTAATTGAAAATATGAGTTAAGATAGGGAGAATAATGTCAATCAGGGGGGACGATCATTTTACGGCTAATTTCATCACATCCGATGGCACTTGACGATATGGACAAAACGCTCTTTTTAACATCACAGTCGGAAAATTGATTGAAGGTGAACGGCGAGAAATTAGGAGTTGATGCTTTGGACAGATTGTTTAAAGTATATGATTTTATATTATCGTTTGAAAACGAAAAGGTAGATGAGAAATGTTGATTTAATGATTCAATGTCAACGTCTTCATTCGAAATAGTAGATTCTTTAGATTTTCCAACTCCTATAGATCTGAGAAATTTCCAAATTTTAAAAAAAATAAAAAGGTATTAGGGTTTCAAGTAAGATGAAAAGGTTTCTGACATTAAATGTTAAAATATGTAAAGGAATGTTTGCAGATAAATATGAAAGGTCATATATACAGATAGAAAAATATTGAGAAAAGCAAAGCAAAAGAAAAATTGAGTCGCCGATAAAGTCTAATAAAGAAATCTGGAATATTGTAAATGGAAGTAGGGAAAATTCCTTTTGTAAAAAAGAAGATAATATACTACTAAAGGTAAACAATAACATGTTTTCTCAAGTGATTTTAGTGAAACTAATTCATTAAGTAAAGTGCGAAGATTGAAGCACTAGTGATTCAAACTTCGCACAATTAATTCTGGAACAAAGTGTGCAGAAAGTTGTGACAGACATGCGTTTTAATATTATTATTAGTCATGAAATTTAAAAACAGCTAAGCAAATGAAAAATAAAAGATCACGTGGTTATGATGAAATACCCATCAACATTATTAAAGATAATATAGATATATTGGCTGAACCAATAGCTTATGTGTTCAACAAGTGTGTGGAACAATCTTTGTTTCCTGATCAGCTTAAGGTTGCACGAATACTTCCGGTACATAAAAAGGGAAGTAAAATGAACATAGACCGATTTCCTTGCTACCGATTTTATCTAAAATTTATGAAAAGCTGATTAAAGGTAAGACTAGAAGCACATTTGCGACAAACTATCATCATCATCATCATCATTACAGCCCTTCACAAGTCCGCCGCTGAACATAGGCCTCCCCCAAGGAATGCCACAAAGCACGGTCCTGAGCCACCCGCATCCATCGACTTCCTGCATGGCTCTTACCAGGTCGTCACTCCATCTAGTGGGGGTCACCCTACAATACGCCTACCGGTACGAGGCTGCCACTCGAGAACCTTTTTTCCCCATCGGTTTTCAGTTCTTCGAGCTATATGGCTTGCCCATTGCCACTTCAGCTTACAAATCCGTTGGGCTATGTCGGTCACTCTGGTCCTACTGCGGATATCCTCATTTCTAAGTTTACCACATAGAGAAACCCCGAACATAGCCATCTCCATAGCTTGCTGAGCGACCTTGAGCGTCCTCATACGACCAGCAGTGAAGGACCACGTCTCAGATCTGTAAGACATCACCGGCAACAAACTGGTTGTACAATCTAGTTTTCAGGTTTTGAGGTATACCTGAGGAGATGTGTCGTAATTTCCCGAACGCTGCCCAACCGAGTTGAATCCATCGATTGACCCCTCGGTCGAAGTTGGACTTACCTAGTTGCACTATTTGTCTCAGTTAAACGTACTCGTCAACAACTTCGTACATAGTGCTCCCAACAACTACCGGCATAGGTGTGACATGGACATTAAAGATGATCTTTGTTTTGTTGTATGTTGTATGTTCATCTCAAAACCTATCCATTGGGAGACACTATTGAGGTCATTGAGCATAGTGCTTAGGTCCTTCAACGATTCTGCCATAAGGATGTATGTGAATGCCATAAGTGATGTTCTCGCCATTGATGTTAATACCGTAGCCTTTTCAGTCCAGTAACTTGAAAACATCTTCCAATTCAGCGGTGAAGAATTTCGGGGATATAACGTCATCCTGTCTTAGACCTCTCTGCAATTGGGTAGGTTTCGTACTCTGGTTCTGTACTCGGATAGTCATTGTTGCGCTACTGTACAAACACTTCAATACTTCGATATACCGACAGTCAACTTGGCACCGCTGAAGGTACTGTAGCACCGCCCAAATTTCGATGGAATCAAAGGCTTTCTCATAGTCCACATACGCCAGGCGAAGTGGCAAATTGTACTCTTCGGTCTTCTGTACAATCTGTCACAGGGTATGTATGTGGTCTATGGTATTGAAGCCTTTTCGGAAACCGGCTTGTTCGGGAGGTTGAAAGTCGTCGAGTCTGCGTGCGAGACGATTCATAATAACTCTCGAAAACAGTACGTAGACGCGGCTCAGAAGAGAAATCGGTCTGTAGTTCTTCAAGAGAGCGTTGTCGCCTTTCTTGAAGAACAAGACCACAGCACTTCTGGTCCACGCCTCCAGTGTAGTGCCACCATGGAGAACGGAGTTGAAGAGCTTCTGAAGGACTTTAAGTACTGGTGTTCTACCTGCTTTCAGAAGCTCCACTGTAATTTCATCCTCGCCTGGGGCCTTGTTGTTTCTAAGGTGCTGGAGAGCCATTCTAATCTTACTTAGACTGACGGTCGGAATATCATCGGAATAGAGTCCGATAAGACTTGCTCTTGGATCGTTATTCACACTTCAGCTTTGACAGCTGGCTCTTTCTGGCAGGCAAATTTCTGGCAAAGATTTTGGAGCCCTTGTTCTCCGCTCGATCACCTCTTCAATACGAGCTGTATTGAAGCTGCGTAAGTCCCGCCGCATGTATTTGGAAATCTGTCTGTTCAGTTGCTTGTATGCTGCCAAATCTGTTGAAGACTGCAGCTTCATTTCACGTCTAACAGCCATGGGATTAAGAGTGTGATCGGAGAATTTTTGTGTTCTTCTGCGGCGGGTCTTACAGAACTTAGCTCCGACCGCATGGACAGTTTCCACGAGCTTGTCATTCATATAGTCCATTGCATTGCAATCTTCTAGGCACTGAAAACGATTTTGTAACTCGAGCTGAAAGGTTTCGGGACTTTGGATTAGAGCACGAGGGGGACGGAGCATTGACTTCATTAGATGATACCTCTCCAACTTAACGTTTAGGTTCAGTTTGACTCTAACCATTCGGTGATCGCTACCAGTTTTCACCCTTGAGATCACTGAAACACCACTGAACAGTTGCCTTCTAGTCATTATAATGAAGCCAATCTCATTTTTGTCGAACCGTCGGGGCTCGACCAGATCCACTTTCTGTAGGAAAGAGTTCATCATAAAGAGTCTCTTTCTCCATGAAGTCGGCCAGCTGCTGGCCGCTTGGGTTCCATTGCCCTATCCCAAATTTCCCTACCTTCCACTCACCATTGTTTCTTGTGCCTAGCTTTGCGTTGAAGTCTTCCATTACCACAATTTAGAGGGTTTTGGAGGAATGTATGGCTCTAGAAATATACTCATACATTTCCTCCACCTCCTCATCAGGATGTGACGACGTTGGTGCGTAAACCTGTATGACCTTCAGCGAATACCGTTTGGTGATTCTTAGTATAAGGTACGCAACCCTCGTCGACACACTCCCAATCTTTACAACGTTGTTAACGAGAGACTCGTGGACGATAAATCCAACAACTCCTTGGGACAGATCACTCACCCGGTAATAGAACAAATTTCCGGATTCGAGAATCACCGTGTCCTCCTCCTCTCTTCGGACCTCGGATAATCCTATAATATTTCAGCGCAATTTGTCTATCTCTTCTACCAGCACCAGGATCTTCTCGTCAGTCCTCAGGGTGCGTGCGTTGTAAGTAGCCAGGTCAATTCTTAAGATAACTTTTAGTTCAAGAACTACAGTGAATTTCATTAATAACGACCTCGGTTGTAACGACTTTACGGTTATAGCGACGTCAAACTTACGTCCCTTGAATTTAAAGCATACTTTCGTAAGAAATTCATTCGGTTATAGCGACTTTGGTTATAGCGTCAATTTCGGGTATAGTGACTTATTTTTATGAACCATTTATGATCGATTCCTAGAAATCCCTTGCGGATATTGCGACTGAGTTTGGCAAAGGCACAAAGACTCATTCATAAAACTATTAAGCTTTCTTATCCTTTGTTTACATTCACAGATGGTCAAACTAATGCTTTATTTGTATGTAGGACTATGTAACATGTTTGCGAAGTTAAATTTGCGAATGAGTTACATAGAAATTCCAGTGAGTGAACAGTGTATCTTAAACTTGTGTATATGGCTCCTAGACGTACATTTACTGTTAAAGAAAAAGTGGACATCATTTCGAGACTGCAAAATGGACAAAACAATGTTGATCTGTGTAAACAATTTGGAGTTTCACATTCTACAATATCAACGATGTGGAAAAACCGCGCTAAAATTATGGAGTGTTTTGAATCAAAATCCCTGAAAATAAAGAAAAATCACAAAACACCCGTGTATAACTTAATTAAATAAATGATAAGTAAATATGTACATGACTTTTTATTATTTCGGATATAGAGACCTCCGGATATAGCGACGACATTAAAGTGGTCGCTTCGCCGTCGTTATAACCGCAATTCACTGTATTGTTAAAGAATTACTAAAAAAAATATTGGTCCCATTTTCTATAATGTACTAAACCATTTATCTGTTTATAAGATAATGTTGATTTTTAAAATTTGGGAAGAGTGATTTACTTACAGCAATAAATTTCTTTGTACACAAATTACAGGAGAAAGGTCGTTCACCTTTATGAATCAGGTTATGTCTGAAAATAAATTATGAGAATTTAAGTAATTTACACGAGCTATATATGAATAAATGAGATAAAATACCAAAAAAAAACTACTTTAAAACTAATTTGAATACATTAAGTAAATAAATAAGGAAAAAAGATATGTTACATTAAAGGTTTAATAAAAACAATGATTTTATTATTTATTGAAACCCTTAATGCAGCAAATAAATTGTGTTTCAATTTATGTGATAAAAATGTTTTAGACTTTACCTAACCAATGATTTCTGCGTGTAGAAGCCAGCACCGCAAACTTCACAAATGTGATCTTTTATTCCAGTATGTTGTTTCATATGGACTAGCAAATTACTTTTTTGAACAAATGATCTCGGACATTGATTACAAGTGAATTTCTTCTTTTCTTTAAAAGGAAAATAACTTCATAATTATTATAGTTTAATTTATAAAAATGTAAATAAAATATTTCATATTAAGTTGAATACCTTCATGTGTTGCTATATGGTTTCCAAGAGTATAAGTAAGTATACCACAAACAGGGCACACAAGCTTTTCTTTCTTCTTTACTTCAGGTTTTCTAATTAATCTTACTGACTTATCCCTGCTGCGAGCTATTCTATTACTATCTAAAGAATTTCCTGAACTTCTTGATTTATAATTTGGATGAACTTTAAGTACAGTTGCATCTTTAGGCCTTTTTAGTAGTATAGGTGGACCCCTAGAGCCATTTTTCAATATGGGATCTGTAATTATACAATTTTGGATTAGCATATAAATGTATTAATTTAGTAGCATAGTTGTTACAAGCATCATTAATAATTTATTCATAGATACATGACCAACATTTTCTAATTTATCTTTACTTGAATGTTATTACTGTTTGTTCCTAAAAATTAAAATTTTAACGTAATTTAATTAATCATTATATGCATAAAATATACCACTTAGCTTGCACTAATCATTTTTTTATTTTGAATTTAGTGATTGAACATTTTATTAGACAAAATTAAAAGAGCATTTGATTATTATTTTCTGTTGATATACGTAATATAATATTTAACATTAATGTTATCATTACAGCCTATAAAGCCCACTTATGATCTCTCATAATTTGAGTCATAGGAATCCCCCTATGACTTTTCGTTGCCATTTTTGGTGAGCAGGTTGTCCACTGAAGTTAATATTTTTATTCAGCTTTTAACAAGTCTACTTACTACTACTTACTTAGGTTACGCCTCATACGACACCCACGGGATGATATGTGGTAGGAATTTTTAATAATAATAATTTATAAATACTAAAATATTTCCATAATTAAGTTATTAATTAGGTACGGAAATAGAAAAACGTATTTTAAAATTTCCTAGATAAAAAGTGTATACAAACGAACGCGAGGTCGTACACTTAAGGGATATATATATAACCTTTGGTCTTCAGCAATATTCTGTAAGATCGATGCTAGTAATCGTAGCTATAGTCAACCAAATCTAAGAAATATCTTTTGATGTTTCACATTAATCATTCCGCAATAACATTGTACAAGCGTACTCACACAATTTAAAATAACCTTTTACGTAAATCCAAAGAATTATGAAGTTGTCTATATTTCATTAGCGTTAATTTAAATTCGAATCTTTCAAACAAAGCAAAATATTTAAAAAATAACCAGTATCAACTTTTTTACTTGACATCGTTTCAATGATATGTCGCTATGTACCTTACCATAGTGTTTAGATGATTAAAATTCATTGTTATTCGAATAATCGGCAAAAATATTCAAATAATCCGTAAAACTATTCAAATAATCGAATCATTAATCGTTTTTATGTATTGTATGTTTAATTAAATTTTTATTTTTAAAATTCTTAAAACTACATGAATCATGAATAAAACTAGATATTTTTTTTTACTTTGTCAATGTAAATTCGTGTAGGTGGTACAAAAAAACTCGTATAGAAGGCTGCGCTGAAAAAACCATTACGTAATTTCAATCTCCTGCCATTTCGGGAGCGTACTGTAAGTAATTTTGTGATTTTCTGTTTGTCTTTTTATTTTGTTACTCGGCTTTAACTTTTTGGATGTTGTTGTTTCTGTATATTCGTTGTTGTTTCTTCTATATTCGTTGACGCATGTGCCCATGTCACAAAAGATTATTGGGCAAAAGTGGTAGAAAAAACAAGAAAATGATTATATATATATATATATATATATATATATATATATATATAATACTATATATGACTTCGAAAGAGACATTAATTTTGACTGCATTATTGAAAATCAAATAACAATTAATCTAAACGATGACAGCACAACTAGTTGTACTGAAATTGATTGAATAAATTTATTTTTAATCTAGTTTAAATTTAAAAATTTTATATATTTGCCTCTAGAAATAAGCAGTAACAACAAATACGAAGAAACTGATAAATCTTGTGTTTTAAATTATCCGTTTTTAATTTATTTTGGTATTATTCCAACCAAACTGTAATAATCAAACTCTAAATAATTAATGTCGATTTTTTTAAGAATTGAATATTGTACGTTCCCATTTTTTGGTTGGCATGCTTGGCACAATAAGTCTGACAGCTGTCAAAATATATTTCTTAGATTTGGTTGACTATATTTGATTATAATAGTAGTAACTTTAAAATATATTTTTATTTTTATATCTATCTATATAAACACAAAAAATGTTTCTGCCTATGTCCTTTATGTTGCCACAGCAGCATTAAGCTGCTATTTTACGCTGGTATTCTGTAAATGCATGATCCTTCCCCGGTCGAGCCGACCGGGAACCTATTCGTTCTACCACTATAACATAGCTGCAGCCTGATTATACCACGTAAAAAAAGTTTCTCAGTAAACAAATTAATGTTAATTCTCAATGAGAAATAAAGTCCTTATGTTAACTGTTAAACTACTTATGTCGATATAGACTTTGAATGTATGACTATGCTATTTAAACCATATTATTTGGGCCAGAGTTGCACGGGATTATTATAAAGACAATAATTACCAATAAATATTATTATCGTGATAATTCGCAAGCCCATTGGCAACTTTTAAAGTAAAAGTCATTTGGTATATGGTAGTAAACGACATGGTTAATATTTTTTTATATCTTTTTCAAAACAACTAAAATAACAAAAACACAATGAATAACAGTAAATCAGCAAAAACACTTAAACATGTAAACAGCTACTTAGACAATCAGCGAACCAGCAAGCGCATTCCCTCATTCTTTCATACCCTCATTTATTCTGAGTCAGGGACGAAGCTGCCATATCTGAATCTGGTGCATCAGTGATACAGGGCAACTAAGCTAAAAGAGTCTCAAAACACCTACATCTAAGTATCCAGTATCCCTCAACAGTCCTCTAAAATTTTGACACCAACCCTAACTTTTCAATATACATAAACAGGTACTCAAATGCAATGTAGTTTATATGATAAGAGTATAATAAGGGACAGTGGCAACATAATAGGTGATGGAATTATTAAGCATCTACTTAAGTCACCATTACAGATATCAATAAAATAATTTATCTAATCAAGGTTAAGACCTATCGAAGTCTGAAAAAAAATCATCATACACAATTCAAAACTTAATTGACTAGTTGTTGTAGTTGTGACGATTCGTCAGTTAAGACAGGCAAAGGTCTTATACCAAACAGGCAAGTTTGACGTGTATTTTATTCAGAAAACTCTTCTATATATTATACTAATGCGTTCTTTAAGGATTCCCTCTAAAAAGTCACCTAAAATTTGTTTGGGAGTTCGCCATTGTCCTTTATGTAGTTTAGACGCACTATCAAAAGTATAAGAAAATAACAATAAATTTAGACTTAAAAAGCAAATTAGCTTATGTTTCTGCAAAAACTGACTATAGAGCCAGAATTTAAACCCAGGATACTATTATTTATTATGTGGCCAGGAACCATAACAAATGGTGTAAACATACAGATGACTTAGTCATCATTTAATCTTCATAACCCCTTGTGTGGCGACCGGCCAGATTCTGGCCGATGGTTAATTACGCGCGTCTGGCAAGCGACCAGATTCTGGCCGATCCGCGACTGCGTATTTGGCGGGTAAAATAACCAGCGACAATGATTTTTATCACACTTTTACTTATAGAAAATTATAAACCAAAGAAAGAGGATGCGATACAAAGCTACTAAAGTACTACAATGTGTAGAAATTTCGAATAAACAGCCTATGTAGCAGTCGCATGCGAACGTCACTTTCATGTGGTCACCCGTCCCGGTTTTTGTCCTTATTTTTATTCCTAAATCGAACAAATAGTGAAGTTAAGTGCTATTCAAACATAGAAGGGTTAATAATCAACAGTTTTTAATTCATAATTTAGGGATATGTATCCTTTTTATAAAAAAAATTCGAACATAAACGGTCGTTATACTTACTTACCTTACATTTATCTCTATTGTTGATTAAAAATACATTACATTCTTTTTAGAAATGAAACTTTGTCTAAATTAAGGACTTGAGCCATACTTAATGTTAAAATTATCGTACGCCACTTGACTTGCTCATTTCTCAAAATAAAACTAACAATATATGCTATTTTTTGTGCAACGCTTGGGTTGCCGTTCATGTGTTAAGATTGTAAAAAACTTTTGAGGTAAAAATATATAGGAATGTGTGGTTTTTTTTTTGCTTTTTTATTGTAAATTATTGTATATTGATGAAAATAAATTACATTTATTTAATAAAAGAATGATTTTTTCTTTAATTTTCACAAATTATTCACAAAATACTATTAAAAATTTGGTTTTCCAACTTTTAAATTGGCTTAATAAAACCCATTAAGTTGTATTCAACTAAGATATCTACAGAGTAATAGCAAATAATATAACGATTCATATGACATAAGTTTTATAAATAGCTTCCATACAATATTTTAGAGAAATTACTAATTTAATCGCCACGCGCCGATATCGCAAAATTACCCGCTAAGGCCCTAGCAGACGCGATGTATTTGCAAAATGGCCGGCCGGCAGACGAGGGGATAATAATTATTCATCAAAACTTGTATTTTTAAAGATTTATCTACTCCAAATGTTAGCTACACCTTCACACGGTGCACCTCACTAATCAACTTATGAGGCAGTGGCAATAGACAAAAGGTGGAATTTTTATTTAAAATTTTGAAACCTAAATTAAACATGAATGTAAAAAAATATTACTTAATTATTTTTTATAAAATAAAGGAAATATTCCATTCCTTTCTATTCTATTCCAGATTTCTTAAATAAAAATTTGATAGCTTGTAAATACAATCTACTTACAACAAGTAATGGTGGTAGCTCGTGATTTGTTGCTATCATCACTACTTTTAATACCATTTTCTTCCAAATCATCCTTAAGTTTCCTTAACACTTTAACTTTTCTCACTACTGCTTTTTTCCCTTTAAAAACCTTTATATCACACAATTTTGGTTTTTTAAATTTAGATTTGTGTTTCTCAGTAGGCGGCACATAATCGTCATCATCATCATCATGAAATACATCATCCAAATATTCACTCTGCAAAAATATTAATATTATTGCTTTGAAAAAATATCTGTTTTAAACATATCATTTTAAATATAATAAGATACAACTCACATCATCATCATCATCATAATTATTCTGAGATTTAGACAATTTCCAGCTGACATCCACTTTGTCATCATTTATCGATTCTGATTTTGATTCCTCGTTTTCTGGATCCACTTTTCTTATAACGGTGTTTGCTATAACTATATCCTTTCCTTCTATAGTTTCTATCTGCTTATTAGAATTGTCATCCAAATCTATCTCCATTTCCCATTTTGGTTCAGATTTAATTGACAAAGGTCCAATTTCACTCTTGATATCAGTAAAAGAATCAAACGCAATTTTCTTTGTCGGAACTTTTTTACTTGCTTTGGCTAAGATACTTCTTAATTTTTTATCCGTCCTGCAAAACACAATAACGTATTTATTTCTCATTTAAATATTTAAAAGCAACTTAAAAAGAGATATTTAGAATATTTACCTTTCTGCCACAGTTTTCAATAGATATGCTTTTTCTAATGAAGTACAACACTTGTGGCATATCTTTTCAGGTAATCCATCATTTGATAACACCTTAGAAAAAAAACAATAAGATTACAAAAAGTAAAAAAAAGTTACAGCCTATATACATCCAACTCCTGGGCACAGGCCTCTCTCTGTCTCTCTCACTCTCTCACTCAATCCTGAGAGTGTTTTAGGGCATCACATGTCTTCGAAAGATTTTTTATTTCTCAGACATGCAGGTTTCCTATCATGATGTTTTCCTTCACCACCAAGCATGTGGTAAATCAGCACTTAAAATTGCAATTGTCAATTACATTGGTGCTGGCGGGGATCGAACCTGGGTAGCTTGTGTAATGTGACTTTACAGCGAACTCTAACCATCTGAGCTACCACAGCTCTAGTATTGTATATAATATGCAATATATTCAGCTACTTACTTTAAAGTACATTTTCATAGTCACAAATACTACAAAAAAATTACAAATTATAATATATATATAAAAACATATTAAAAATTAAAATATAGGCATAAACTAATAAAGTTGAATTACTTCTATTAACTATTGAATTGCAGGAAGTCGATGGATGCAGGTGGCTCAAGACAATATTTTGTAGCCTTCCTAGATTTGTTTTCAGCAGTGATAGAATCAAATCCAGAACCAAAGCCAAGGTCAAACATAAGGGCAATCAAAAAAGTGCAAAAACAGAACAAAGTCACCGAAAACACAGCACTAAGCACAAGAGAACATTCGCATGACCACTAGAAAAACGGAATGACGATTGACATTTGACGTCATAGATATATTATGGATGTGTTGTGTGTTTGTGTATTAATGTCCGAGTTTATTTGAATAATGACATTAATTAATAATAATAACAATCATTTGTGGAAGCAGTTAAATCTCTAGGTGCTGTTATGTTTTTTGATCATGTGATCAAAGTACTGAGACCACCTTACCTCGAAAGCACCAGTGCTCACTGTACAAAAATGGCAGCAATTTATGACATCAGATATTTGGGTACTGCGGGAGTATACTGGCAGTCCATAACAAATAATCACATGCAAAATACACACTTAGATGTGGAGTTGCAAAAATTAGCAATCTAATGAACTGTTACTGAACAGCTTATCAGCAATGAAGTTGCAATGTGTGAGATGTTTCACAACTTTCGGTGAAGATCGCAAGTTTCTTTGAAGATACTTCCATGTTTTGCTTATATTCATTGATTAGACCCCTTATCTCGAGGAGCTATAGAGCTAGCTATAAAACTTGACAACACACTCAAAACTCAAAGAGCTTCAACATCTGAAGATATTAAATCTATATAAACTAGAGCTAAAACTTGACAAAATGGAAAATAGAAAATTGTAGGTACATCAATCTCTTATTTTCTCTATTTGTTACTTGTTAACTTTACTTTACTACCGGTAGGTATATGTTCAGCAGTAGACTTTAATAGATTGTAATGGTATATTAGCTTGACCTGTATGTTATAGTCTGTATGTAAACATATATGAATATAGAGAAATTAATTTTACAAAACTACTGAAAGTATAATAAAATGGTCATAATTGATAAAAATACTACATATAGCTTAACAGTATTTAATGGATATGAAGTTAAATAAAGTTTAGTACAAAAATAGTGTAAAATATTGTAACAAAAACTTAAGATTTATATGTCATTAGGAACTAAAATTATAAAGTGAATATGAGAGGTTAGAAAATTCTTTAAAAGAAAAGACTAAAAAATTATGATTGATTCCTTCGTCTCGATCGCATTCACAAATTGAGCTACCTAGGATCTTAAGTTTTGCCAAAAATACAGGCGAATAAGTATGTTCTAATCTAATTCTACTTAAAACTATTGTAATTACACATACAAAAAAAAAAATTAAACAATAAATCATAGCGGCTCTCGAAATCGTAATATGTAAACGTCCTTACAACGTATTTACCTTTACATCTGCAATCGCTGTAAGCATTTCTGCATAGTTACCCGATAGTTTGTATCTGAATAGTGGACACAGGGGTTTCTTATTTGATAAACATATACGACATGAACTTAGATCTATAACTCTGCTCGGATCAAACATTTTGGAAGCTGACACTAAAGGGGTGAACAAAAACCTGTCAATATCTATAATTGCCGATTGAGAGAAGAACTTTTAATTTGATTTCAACCAGTTAATCAAATTTCAACAAATGGAACTCACTAGTAGCCAAAGAGTATAGATGCGTAGTATCTAGGGATGTTCGATGATCATCGATGTTAAAAATTATAACATCGATGTTTTAACATCGCCATCGTGTCGTCACCTGTTAAACATCGAAACATCGATGTTGCCACATGTCAAACATCGATGTCAATAATCCCATAACCGATTAATAGAAACCTCTGAAAAAAGTCTATATGTCTATATCAAATAAATCTTGCATCTTCTATTAAAGGTTTAAAATTTAGAATAGTTCATCATGCATCGATCACCTAAAAAAATATTACTATGGTGTGTCAAACTTCACTGTCAAGGATGAATTGTAATGTCACAGTTAAAACTGCTTTCGCTTTGTTATTCTGTAATAATGTTGTCGGTTGTCGCCTAACAACTATTCTACGTAAATTGATATTCAAATGAATTGTTTTTCCCTTACTGTCTATACCCACATAATTTTGAAACAATATGTAAGTATCTACACAATTAAATTACATATAGTTGCATTTTTTAGCCTATCATAATGAGTTTATTTGCTTGAACTTGAAGTTTATGAAAATAGATCACTGAATGAGCGTGAGCATAGACAATTTCACTGCATAGTGCATTTTATAAACGGGTGTGGATACCAACTGCTTGGGCTGTCTGATTAAAATTTGTGAACAAAGGTAACGGAAAAGTCTATTATTTTGTTTTTGCGTGGTTTGTTAATTTTTTTCTCAAAAACCATATTTTTTCTTTCGCGATAAAAGTAATTGATATAAAAACTAAGTCCGAGTCGTAAATTAAGTCCCATAGTAATTTTTTTCCTATCAGATTTGTGAATGTGTAGAACATTTAAAAATCAAAATAGTAACATTAATAATGATCGGCAAGAAATATTAGACTATAATATTATAACAATAATGAACTAGATATATTTCTTAACTTCTTCCCATTTTTTAAATTTCTGACACTAAACCAAAAACCACATGACTATTTTTTTATTTATTTCTCACCTATTAAAAAAGTACACGTGCAAAAAACATCGATAATGGCCAACATCGATGTTATGACCAGGATAAACATCGAACATCGATGATAAACTATCGATACCAACATCGATGTCGTCATCAATGTTTCTGCAACATCGACCATCCCTAGTAGTATCCTCTAAGTAGTCTGTGGAGTGTAGTGATCATGGAGTATAGAGGTATCCAAGTAGTGATTCTCTGGTAGATAGTGTATTTATAAAAAAATACACTAATTATAAGTATTATCTATGATAGTGATACTGATATTATCACTGACTTAGAAGTATATGGACTGGACATACCTACATAATTAGTGTGACTACCTACAAAAATCTCATGGAGTATAGGGGTAAGAAGGACAATCTCCCATAGGAGAATAATTGAAAATATTTCCATCTGTAAGCAATAAATAACAGTTCAAAAACTCTCCACAACAGCGCTGGAGTAGCTACAGGATATGATAAATCACCGTAAAATACGTTGAGACTGATTTTGAAAATAAAAAAATGATAACAATAAAATAATAATTGTACAAAGAATTATATACAATAAATTTTTTTTTATAAAAAGTATAATATAATATATAATATATATATATATATATATATATATATATATATATATATATATATATATATATATATATATATATATATATTATAGCTACAGTGGTTACAGTAGCTACCCTTATTTAGCGCTTTCCAACGGACACTTTTTTATACCAAGTCTGTACTCCTTACCTCTACACTCCATAAAAAATCTGGAGCATAAAATGGCCGCCTTTTATAGGGTTGTAACTCGCAATATGCGAAGCTGATATCAGTATTTTAACTAATATGAATCTTTTGTCATTTTATACAATATGTAACAAAAATCCTGTGGTTCCCGTTAAGTGCGTTATCAGAATCAGTATCCAAGCGTATAGACATAATTTTTTTCAAAAAACATATTTCAAAAAATTAACTTTAATGAAAAAAAAATTGGTTGCCTGTAAAGTCGGTATACGGGCGAAAGTTTTACGTGACAACGACTCTCTCACTCTCTCTCTCTCGCTCTGTCTCTGCTCTTAGGCGGGCTAACTGTGCTCGAGTGGAAGGGACGCGTGCCTTTCACTTTTTATGTCTGTCTCTCTCGCTCTTAGGCGGGCTAACCATGCCCGAGTGGAAGGGACGCGTGCCTCTCACTCGCTCTCATTGTGAGCGCATAACGTGAGCGGAGCGTAACGCAGTTTCTTGAAGTGTCACCCGGCAAACCAATTTATAAGACGTTGTCACGTCAAAAAATTATTTGCAAATTGTATGTGGTTTTATTTCCAATAACTAACACGAGTATCGGTAAAGCGGGGTCTTAGATAATCCTCTTACTCCTCGGCCAATGCAGAGATAATAAAAATAAGTGTTTTTTGAAAAAAAAAATAATTTATTTACGCTTGGATACCGATTCTGATAACGCACTTAACGGGAACCACAGGGTTTTTGTTACATGTTGTATAATCGGATTTGTTGCTTAATTTACTTAATTCCGTAGATATTACCAGATACAGGGCTAAATTTTCAATATTTCAAACTATAAAGGTAAAAAAAGTTTTCAAGAGTAGATTAATTGTATTGGTTTTATTTTTACAGAAAATGGAAAGAAGATGCTTATTGAACTGGGCAAAATTGAGAATGCCTTATCGGAATATGTTGATATGATATGTTCCGATGATGGCAGTTATGCGGGTTGCGATAGTTCGGATGTCGAAGACGAGGTCATCATTGAAGAACAGAATAAGACGATGAGAAATTTTTATCGAAGAAGACTTTGAAGTTACAGACCTACGTAATTAGGAATTTGACTGCGGAGATGACACACCTCCAGCCAGATTATCTTTTTCTTAGCATTTAGTTCCATCATCATCACCAGAATCACAACCAGGATCATCTACTGTTCAGGTTGAAATACAGGCTCCAAAATGAAAAAAAAAAACATCCTACTCAATCCTATCTGCTGGTAATTTTGTCTCCACAAATCACATACCTACTAACTTGTCATCTCTAGTCGCTCACAGAGAACTATCTCCACTAAAGATTTTTCGATTATGCTGGACAAAAGAGCTTGTTCAATATATTACATTTCTTACTAATTAATATGCAGAACAAAAAGGAGGACTTTATGAGCCTGTCACAGAAGAAGAAATAAAACTTTTTATTGCTCTTAATTTAGGGATGAGAATAAAACAGAGCCCGAGTTACCAATATTACTAGTCTTCTTCAACTAACTTACGAGAAAAGTACATATCATCACTGACGAAATTTTCCTGGATTCTAGGGAACTTACATATGAATGATATAATCTTGATTCCTAGTAGGACAGATTCTTACTACAAGTTGTACAAAATCAGAACGTTTATTGATAAAATTAGAGACTCATTCGTAAAAAAAAACTATTACCCTACGAAGAATATTGCAATAGAAATTCAAAGGAAGGAGTTCGCTCAGGCAGTATATGCCCAAAAAACCAACGAAACGAGGATACAAGATTTGGACAAAGTGTGCATCTACTGGCTATTGTCTTCATTTTAAAATATATACTGGGAAAGTTGGGAATATAGTGGAGAAAGATTTAGGAGGCCAAGTTGTTAGGAAGTTTCGTTTAGGCATGGAAGACCAGTCGACAGAAGAGACTTGCTTTGAAGATTATCATTAACAGTAATTTTATCTTTTATTGAGTAGTGCGAACAAATTTCGTATTTTTTAAGTATGTATAAAGCATTTATTGTTCCTAAATGTGTGAAAAATGTGTAAATCATTATTGTTTGATAGTAAAAAATAAAGACTATATTTAGCCATTTTCCTCACAGTGGTCACCCACGATAACCACCCTGTATATAACTCCACTACCAATCTACACATGAAAAACCAACAAAACTATTTATAACTATCCTTATCTTACTTGATATAAACAAAAATATTTGATTTTCTCTGAAAATTAAAATCTGTGCCGCAAAGAGCTATTCGACGGCAGTAGGTCAACAGCATGATCAATCTGAAATCAAGTGATGTGTACGTTAAATTTGCCACACTTTTGGTTTCATAACATCCCCTAAATAAACGGATTTATAACAAATTAATGTACCAAGATTATAACTTATAACGAAGGCTTTATTTGGCATTGGCATGGCATTTGCTGGCCCGATTGTCTGACGTGCTCATAAATGTCATTTATTTTGTTCCTCAAGTCATTTGCATAATCGGTTATACTGCGTGGGACATCCGGTGGTATTCCGGTAATTAGGTCTACATGTAGCTGTATTTCCCTTCTTTTTTTGTTAGTAGTTTGCGAAAGCTGGTGTCACTGATGTACTTTGTGTACGTGAATAGCGCTTCGATATGATAACAAAAACGGTTGTATGTGCTTGTGCCAATCTCGTTGCCGATTTTCCACAACTTTTGCTAGGTACCTCTCCATTGTGTGATTGAATCGTTCTACCATTCGATCAGATTGCGGGTGGTAAGAAGTCGTTCTTGTTTTATGAGTACCCAGAACTCGGCAAGTTTCCTGGAATATTTGAGACTAAAAATTCCTTCCTTGATCGCTGTGAATCTCTAAAGGTACTCCAAAACGACAGAAGACTTCAAGAATTAGATTATCTGCAACTGTTAAAGCTTCTTGATTTGAAATGGCGAATACTTCTGGCCACTTAGTGAAGTAATCCATCACAACCTTGAAATACTTGTTACCACTTTCATTTGCACGCACAACTTGTACATTTGCGAC